TATTTCAATTACTCTTACGCCAGATGTAATGGGACGCACACCTTCCAAAAAGTTCAACTTTTGTCTCGTCAGTCCACAGAGTATTTTCCCAAAAGTGTTGGGGATCATCAAGATGTTTTCTGGCATAACTGAGACAAGCTTTTATGTTCTTTTTGCTCATCAGCGGTTTGTGTCTTGGAACTCTGCCATGCAGGCCATTTTTGCCCAGTCTCTTTCTTATGGTGGAGTCATGAACACTGACCTGAACTGAGGCAAGTGAGGCCTGCAGTTCTTTGGATGTTGTTGTGGAGTCTTTTGTGACCTCTTGGATGAGTCGTTGCTGCGCTCTTGGGATAATTTTGGTTGGCCGCCCACTCCTGGGAAGGCTCACCACTGTTCCATGTTTTCGCCATTTGTGGATAATGGCTCTCACTGTGGTTCGCTGGAGTCCCAAAGTTTTAGAAATGGGTTTATAACCTTTTCCAGACTGATAGATCTCAATTAGTATTAATATTATTCAGAATGTATATAGCGCCAACAGTTTGCTCAGTGCTTTACAATATAAGGGAGACATTACAATACAAGACAAGACGGTAAGGAGGGCCCTGCCCGTGAGGGCTTACAGTCTAAAAGGGAGGGGGAAGTGATAAATGAGGAGGTAGCTGTGTGGAGATGAATTGTTTGATAAAGTGATAGTTCAGTGGTCAGGTTGAGGTGGGATAGGCTTCCTTGAAGAAATTAGTCTTAAGGGATCGCCTAAAGGCAGTCAGAGTGGGAGATAGTCGGACCGGTTGGGGTAGAGAGTTCCATAGGATGGGAGAGGCTCTAGTGAAGTCCTGGAGGCGAGCATGGGAGGAGTTGATGAGGAGCTGGAAAGTAGAAGGTCATTTGAAGAGCGGAGGGGACGGTTATGGTGGTACTTTAAGACAAGGTTTGAGATGTAGCCGGGGGCAGAGTTGTGGATGGCTTTGTAAGTGGTTGTTAATATTTTTAACTTTATCCTCTGAGCTAGTAGAAGCCAGTGCAGGGATTGGCAGAGGGGGTTTGCAGACACTGAGTGGTTGGTCAGGTGGAGGAGTCTAGCAGCTGAATTAATGATAGACTGAAGGGGGGATAGCCTGTGTAGTGGAAGGCCAATGAGGAGGGAGTTGCAGTAGTCAAGACGAGACAAGGGAGTGGATGAGAGATTTAGCAGTTTCATTGGTGAGAAAGGGGGCATATTTTGGAGATGTTTTACGAAGGTGAAGAGGATTTGAAAAGCGAATGGATGTGAGGAATAAAGATGATGTCCGAGTCAAAGATGACACCTAGGACCTTGGCATGGGGGGGAGGGCTGGACAGTTGTGTTAACAATCGCTAGGGAAAAGTTGGGGGAAGGTGCACAGGTTGGAGAGGAAACCTCAGGAGCTCAGTTTTTGAAAGGTTGAGTTTTAAGTAGTGTTGCGACATCCAGATTGATATGACAGTTAGTAGAATAGTGACACGCAAGGACACTGAGGGGGTGAGTTGTGGAGTAGAAAGATAGATTTGAGTGTCATCAGCATTGAGATGGTATTGGAAGCCATGTGAGGTTATTAACTGACCAAGGGACGAGGTGTAGATAGAGAAAAGAAGGGGTCCAAGGACAGAGCCTTGGGGGACCCCTACAGAAAGAGGAAGAGGGGGGAGGATGTAGATTTGTAGGTGACACTAAAGGAGCGCTTAGATAGGTAGGAGGAGCACCATGAGAGAGCAGAGTCTTGTAGGCCAAGTGAGTGGAGTTTTTTTTGAGGAGGAGCAGGTGATCAACAGTGTCAAAAGCAGCAGAAATGTCTAATAGCAAGAGTAAGGTGTAGTGGCCATTGTTTTTAGCTGTGATTAGGTCGTTATTGAGTTTTAGGAGGGCGGTTTCAGTGGAGTGTAGGGGGCGAAAGGCAGACTGTAAGGGATCGAGAAGGTTGTTACTTTCTTTCTAATTTTTTTCCTGGATTTCTTTGGATCTCGGCATGATGTGTAGCTTTTAAGGATCTTTTGGTCTACTTCACTTTGTCAGTCAAGTCTTATTTAAGTGCTTTCTTGATTGCGAACAGGTGTGGCAGTAATCAGGCCTTGGTGTGGCTAGAGAAAGTGAACCCAGGTGTGATAAACCAGAGTTAAGTAATGTTTTAACATGGGGAGAGGCAAACACTTTTTCACAGAGGGCCATGTGGGTTTAGATTTTGTTTTCCCCTAATAATAAAAACCTTCCTTTAAAAACTGCATGTTGTGTTTACTTGTGTTATCTTTGACTAATATTTAAATTTGTTTGATCTAAAACAATGAAAAATCAGGAAGGGGGCCAACACTTTTTCACACAACTGTATATAACACAGCTAGTTTTTTTCCTTTTACACAACTTGTGACTGCACAATAAAAGCAGTAGCAGCTCAATGATGAGCTCATCTCTCTGCTCTGCTAAGATGTACACAGCCCTGATAGACAGCAGACCCAACCTGGATACCTGATTTTTCTCTTCGTCAGTTACACTGTATAATGCTGGGCACACACCTTACAACCATCGCAAGACTTTTGTCTTGCAATGGTTGTAAGGTACTTAAAAAAACGTACGATCTGCCCATCTTGGACAAGCAGATCGTACTTGCGATGATCGCAAGCCGCGCCCCCCTGAGGGGCGGGCTTCCGATTACCGCAATGCCGAACGGGCAGTGTGCGCCCGTCCGGCTTTTATTGTACGAACATGCTACACACCCGCGGAACATCGTACGATGCTCGGCGGGTTTTCGAACATGTTCGTAAGTTAAAAGTCATGCGACCTTACAGTAGTAGAGGTCGCACGGCTTCCACACACTTTACGATAATCGTACGATCGCGGGATTTCCCGCGATTATCATACGATTATCGCAAGGTGTGTGGGGACCTTTACACAGCTAGGTTTTGTCCTTTCACCCAAGTTGTGACTGCACAGTGAAAGGAGAAGCAGCTCACTGATGAGCTTATCTCTCTGTCGCTCTGCTCTCTCCTGCATGCTCCCTGTTAGCACGAGAGCACTGCAGCACAACTAAACGGCTCTTGTGCTGCTTCTCCTTTTCTCAGTCTAAACTCTGCTGTACATGGGAGTGCAAGAGCCTGATACCAAGTCAAATTTAAATACTTACACTAGTTTCTTTGAAAAAATAAACAATTTTTAATGAATATGTACATGCAGGAATTTGTGTTCCTTTATCTGCCTGGAGTTTTTCTGAATTAAAGTTTTGTGTCACTTGTTTTGGAGAGGCTTTCTAATAGGAAAACCTAATATATAAATACATAGAAAACCCAACCTTGTATGTGAATTACAAATTCCTATAGCAAGCTATGACAGCCGGTCACTGTGGTTTGAGCCTTCAGTTCCTCTAGTTGACTGTGGCAGCATCCACCTGATATTATGACATTTCTGCAGCAAAGTCGATACGTTGTGGACTTAAGTTTGTAGTCGTGCTCTCTCTGGCCTTTATTTAATTGCTTTATTTAAATTCTGTTCAGCTAGAATCATATAACCGCATGTCATTAATACATTATTAATTCATTACAGAAATTACCATAATATGATTATGACGTATGAATGTATATGTATGTTCCATCCAAACTGAACAGTGCCGAGCCTAAAAGGCACAGAAATTAAGTGTGGTACCCCATAGCAGCCGGTCAGCAAGTATCTTTTGTTACTGAGTGCTGTATGGGCATTTGATCCGGTTGAGGTCTGACGCACTGGCATTAAAAGAAGGATAAGGATGACATACCTGTAGCATGCACCATCAAAAATAATTTATCAAGGGCAGCTCTCATTTTTACTTTTTTACTGGTGCAATTTGAAGTGATAAAGGGCTACCTTATATTTCTTTATGAATGGGCACCCTTTTACTGAAATATTAATCGCCAGACAATTAGCATACAGTGCAGTCAGCAATGTTAGCCTGCATGTTTCCATATAATAACATATTGCACAACATATTGTAAGGAGTACTTTTGATTTGGCTTGCGATTTGTCCATTCCGCCCAAGACCTACTTTTTAGGTGAAGCATCAAAGACAGATGTGTCCATTGAGAAGTGCTTTGTTGTAACTCAGAGCAACCAACCAAAACCCAAAAAGTCTGCTTTTTAACATTTTGCACGGGGGGCGGTAGGGGAGGCTCCATGAGGCTTAATGTGTTTTTAGGGTGAAGGTCCACTTTAAAAAAGAAGGCACCCTTCTCCTCTCAGACATGAACTTGTGAAGGGGTCCTATCAGATATTGACAGAAATTTTTAATTTACCTAGTAAGTACCATATTCTGCTTCCTTACTGGGTTCATTATGCCAAAGTAATCGAACCACAGGAATAACTTTATATTAAAAAAGGACTGCTGTGGTTATCTCCCTCTATGAACAGTTTAGATAGAGGGCTGCAGACTCTAGGATCAATGGGGTTGAAGTTTTAAGGGTCTCAGAAGACCCCTTAACTAGGTTGAAACATATCAGTTTGCCTAGTGGAATAATATCTCTCCAATCAGCCGCACAAAACCAAGGTCCATAAAAATCTAACTTTATTGTTGTAAATTCCATGCAAAGATCAAAATACAAGGTATACCCCACCATAGTATCTCTCCCACTCCAACACCTCTCATGCTTTCACCTTCTGGGCTTAACCATAGAGCATGATACGCAGTTGATTATGAATGCTTATCTGCACTCCCTAGTACAGCACACCATATTATGAACTAACCTTATTTTGGGGGCATGATTATTCTTGATAGCCTATCTGGATTAGGACGATAAAGGGTTCTCTTTAGAGTCGATGAGGTTTCAACACCCGCTGCAGAGCAACTGTAAGTCAGCTTCTGATAAGCAAGCACACTGGGACCTGTAATTCGTCAGTGTCCAGCGCTATGCAGATCGCAGAAAAGATACTGCTGTAGTGAAGTTGTGTATTGTGTTGCATTTCAGCTCAGGGTTTACTATGATTCTTAGCGCTTTACAGACAGAAAAGGAATCCTGAATATTTATACCTTCTGTTTGCCATGCAGGCCGGGTACATGTCTGGGATGCTGGTGCCGGTGGGAGTTGGCATAGCTGGAGCACTTCTTATTCTCGGAGCTCTGTACAGCATAAAGATTATGAATCGCCGCAGGAGAAATGGCTTCAAACGGCATAAAAAAAAGGTAAGAGGCAGCTTGTGCTTTTTATTCATTATTAAGTTCAGTCCAGTCTCTTCCTAACCTTGACACAGCAAGACCTTTTACTACAAACTTCTAGTTAAATGTTCAGCTACCTCAGGAGAGGCCAGAGCAAAGATGTCACCTCACCATAGATATAATGCTCTTTCCAGATTTGTTGTCTTTTAAAGCCCGGCTCCAGACATTTTTGGCGGGTTTTGGATATAGTAAGGGTGAGTTAAAACATCTTGCGTTTTGCATTGCTGGCTTTGTCCCCGTTGAGATTTTTCTTCATTTCTTGGTGGAAGAAGTGACGAAGAATATTGCCTGTGAGGCCACTACAAAAGTATGTTTATTTTTAGAAGGGTGGAAAAGGTTAGAACTTCTGTGAGGTTTTTATTACTCTCTGAGAATTCCTGTAATGTGACTCCTGTTCCCCTTATTTCTTGTTCTGGTATCACAGCAGTAAAAAGTGAGGGTACATTCCTCTAATGGAGTCACAGGAAGAAATAAAAACCTGGTAGAAGTTTCAGACTTTTCCCGCTCAAAACTGAAAAAAATAAATATCATACTGGTTTAATTTCTAGTTTTTTTTCTGGTGACTCTATAAAAGAGACATAGTCACCTTGCCCATTATTTGTAAAATGGCTGTGTCTTGCAAAGGGACCCCCGACCCCCTAATACTCCCTGGGGCTGAACAAGAGAAACCTTTAGTTTCTTCCATCCACACTAAACTGAAGTGTTCCCCGGGGGAGGCAAACTCCAGTCCTCCAGCTGTGGTATCCAATCATGCATCTGCCTCTTGGAGTAATATCTGTGGCTTGCAAATCCTAATGTGATTTGTATTTGCTCCACAGCTGGTAGGCCTTACTCTGCCATAGAGGAATCCCCATTGCCAGCTATTGTATTTAGCAGCTGCTGTTCCCACAGCTGCTGCATACCCTAACGGTGCCTGCAGCTGACTGAATGCAGCTGCTATTCAGCTGATAATTTTGCACCCAGCTCCAATTTTTCAGTCGACTTTTACCAAACTGGGTGCTGCTGACAAGGCCACCCAGAGCTTGAATTTTGACCGATTAATCAGAAATCATCTGCAATTCGAGCTGTGGCCGGCTTTAGACTCACTGCATTGTGTACTATCGCAGAGCCTAACAGTCTGCACGCCCTTTTACTGGCCCTCCTTCTTCCAATTCCAGTCCTGCTGCGCAGGAGATTACCGGAAGATATATCAAGTAAAATTCTGGTTCTTTATTGTTTGTTTGTTAGAAGTTCAGCAATAACGACTCAAAAAAAAAATAAATACTGCAGTATCTATCTCTTCCCAACCTCCTGCACTGCAGTGTTTTGTCGATAACAAAGTGGCAGATGCTCTTTAACGATTGTTCCATCTTTTGTTTCCTAAGCAGAGAGAATTTAACAGCATGCAAGACCGCGTCATGCTCTTAGCAGACAGTTCAGAAGATGAATTTTAAATGGGACGGCTTGGAGCTGCAAGGGGGACTTCATGACAGTTCTGCAAGATGAGAACACCAGTCCTGCAATCTCACTGCTATCAGCCAGCTGTGTAACAACCCTGTAGTGATCATCATGCATTGAGAACGGCAGCATGCTGTCTTGTACATGTCTGTTTTTATACGACAGTGAAATGATACGTGTTAATATGCAGAGTCCTAGTGCAACTGTGATATATGTTTTATAGCAAGCTATTTTTTGTACTGAGTTACGTTGTAACAATCACTATGCTGATCTTCTTGGAACAATGCAGGAGGTGTAAATAGAAAGAATTATGGTAACGGTGGAAACTGAGTTTACAGTGTTGGGTAACGGTAAATTAAAAAATGTTAATTAGCCTACCACACATAGATCTGCAAGGCTGAGCAGATGCATTAGAGGGGCTTTTTTTCCCTCATATGTTCCATACAGACTGAACAGAGCTCTTCTGGCATTGTAGTTTGGTTTTATAGAGCCCCTTGAGCATGCAATGGGTAGCATACAGATATTTCAGTTTCAGAGCTGTGTGATAGGTGATGAGACTGTCTTTCTTCTACTAATGTGTACCTGTTTATTCCTTGTGCCCAGTAAACCCAGCATACATCATACACAGCATTGCAAAGAAAATGCTTAGGTGTGACCTCATGTCAGGAGAACATATACAAAAATTGGAATGATACGGAGAAGCATGGCATTAGCATGTCCCCTGCACAAAGATGAAACGCAAATTAGTTAAGCTCTCCATATTTAAAAAAATAATACAATACATAGGTGATTCTTGTAATGCACTTTTTTTAAATTTGTTATAGTAATGGAGGCTGGTGAAGAAAGGAGTACTTTTGATTTGACTTTTGATTTGTCCATTCTGTCCAAGACCTACATTTTAGGTAAAGCATCAAAGACATATCTGTTCGTTGACAGCTGCAGACGGGACTATGACAAAAGCAAGATTTTTTTCCTTTTGTAACTTTTTTATTTCTAACATTTCTCTTTGGGCAGCATGGATTCTTCAGAAGGCTATTTGGCCATAATGACATTTAAAAGGTTTTAAGGATAACTGTACATTAAGTATAATTTTACTTTAATGGACTCTACCTCCCAAACTGTTATACCCACTTGTACTCTCTCCTGCTGAATCCACGCTGTGTGGCTCACGCATCAAAGTCTCCCGACTGGGCAGCTTCTTCTTCATATGGAGAGGCCATCTGTTGTATGTGGATGAAGTCTCCAGAGGAATATATACAGACTTTTCTGTACATGTGCAGAAGAAGAAACTGCCCACCAATCACTGCAGCTGCGGCTCCCAGTGGGCCACACATTGGATTTGGCAGGAGCAAGGACAAGTTAGTATTAAGAGTTTGTGGGGGGTGCCTAATTTAAAGGATAACTGTACTAAAAGAACAAAAAAATCAAAAGACTCACCACTCCAATTCCACCAGACTGCAAACCAATACAAATAGTAAATAAAAGTAAATCACCGGCACACACTTGAAGGGTTTTTAAAGTATTGATATGTTTATTCAACACCCAATGTCACATACTGTCATACGGTGCTAACGTTTCGGTTCCGCACAGGGATCCTTCATCAGAGCAACAGTTACACCTGTCAGTGTTTCGTGTCACTGTCGCTCTGATGAAGGATCCCTGTGCGGAACCGAAACGTTAGCACCGTATGACAGTATGTGACATTGGGTGTTGAATAAACATATCAATACTTTAAAAACCCTTCAAGTGTGTGCCGGTGATTTACTTTTATTTACTATTAGTGTTTTGCACGGCGCCATCCGTGTGGTCACCTGGGCACCACATATACCTTGTGGTTTTGAGACAGTGGCAGTGGGAATGGGATATGGACTTTTTTGCAAACCAATACAGACATCGGGTGCAGGCTGCAGTGTGCTCCCACTCGTCAAACAATATCTCTCCAATCAACTGCACAAAACCGAGGTCCCTGAAAATCCAACTTTATTGTTGTAAATTTCACCACCTGGGCTTAATCATAGAGGTCCTCTATGATTAAGCCCAGGTGGTGAAACCCGTGAGAGGCATTTTGAACTTTGCATGGAATTTACAACAATAAAATTGGGTTTTTGTGGACCTCGGTTTCGTTCAGTTGATTGGAGAGATATTGTACTAAAAGAATAGTTATCCTTTAATATGCTGCCTTAATCAAATTTTCAAAAAGATCAAGTTAATTTTCAATATTCAGTGAAACCACTTACATGTGTGGTGCATTGGATATCATCTAAGTGTTTGTTTGTTGACTGACTAAATTGCATTGTCATCCATAGAAGCTTGAATATGCCCTCAAAATAAGAAGGGGGTCAACTTCTGGCTGCATTTACAAACATGTCCAAAAATGACACCATTGTGATAATGAAGAATGGATGAACAGGATATTGCAGATTGGATGATTTAACACAGATTATTACTTGCCTAACTCCATGGTGCCACAACAGCCAGTGATCCAGTCCTGTTTTCTCCAAGGCCAGAATGTGTGTAGGCACTCCTACATCATCATGTGCAATGCAGTGCTGCTGGTCCCCATGATGATGATGGAAGAGGGGTGGTGACAAGACTAGTCTGAGTCCAGAAAGAAAATTGGTTTCAGGGATCTGGCCATCAGAAACATAACTGACAAGGAGGACGATTGTAGGACAGAGGATTTAAGTGAAAGTAAACCACTCATAAAAAGGTGCCACAGGAGCTGTTAGCCATAATGTGCCAGTATGTACAGTGATCTCCGGCACCTCCATCTTTATCACGGTCCTCTTCTGTGTTTCAAGTCTTCGGACGCTTGATTGGCCAGGTCCTGATGATGTAACTCCTGCGCATTTGCTATTGTATGTACTATTGTAGAAAACATATGCTGACAGGCAGGGAGAAACATCTATGACAAACGAAACTTACACAGTCTCTTCTGTCATAAAAAACCCTGCCTGTCAGCACTTTTCTAAATTTAGTCTTAACTTCCACTTTAGGTGATACTCTCTATTAAATCATCCTGTATAAAAAAGAGCAACATCTTCTTCTGCTGGGGGTGGGGAACATCATTTTTTATTTTTCTAATAACTGCCCAGAATCAGGCATTAAGGCCTGCCTCTTTATCTCCTGTGACAATGGTTTATGATCAAATAATTAAATATTAGTTATTTTATTATCGAGGCTGACACAGTTATTTGTTCTGCATGATAGAGGTCTTTATAGGGTAAGAGCAAAGAGATGGCTTACCTGTCAGCCTTTTCAGAGGCTTAAAACTAAAAGTCCTGGGGGAAAGGATCGATCTGATTTTTCTGCAGTTCTATTGATCACTATGTTAATTTGAGGTTTGCTTGTGATTTTTCAATTTGAAAGGCATGCATTTTAATTTTTTGTTACAAGTTGTTTAACTGAAAAACAGTTTTAGTATAGCTACTTTAGATAGAATAATGGGTATCCTGTATTACAAAGAAGGGAATTCCCATTTTCTTCACTGTGTAGTGGGCTCTCCCTGTTGTCTTACCTTTCCCACCTCCTGTCTGCTGCCCCAGAACCCTGCTGTAATCCTGATGAAGATTCAAGGACTTCTAGTTATGGGCATATTTCCAAGCTCTTGCTGCCGTCCTCCTGCAATGCAGCGCGTGATTCCTGAGAGACCAGGCCCACATGCCGTCACATGAGTGGTGTGCCTAGCAAAGAGCGGGTACCAGAGTATGGTTAGTATTTGCATAAGATCAAAACTGACAGTGGAGTGGTCAGCAGGACTAGGAAAGGTAACAAAAGGTGCCAGAGGGGGACATGTTATTTTTACTGCACAAGGTAAAACATTGTTACTGCAGTTCTTTTCCAAGATACACAGTTTAAGTTGATTCGCTTGTTTTCTACCCAGAACATGTGAACTCATATTGGCAATACTCCATTTGTGTGCAATAATTGAGGGCTAATGTGACTTGGGCACTGCAGAATTCTATATACGGTAGATACTGGAACACAAATGATAAAAAACCAGCATAATAGAGAAGAGCATATATGTATGGAAAGATTTAACCAAAGAATAAATTGGCCTGAGGTTTATTATATACAAAAAAAAATGAAAAGATCAATTTATTGATGTAACTTCAGCCCTCCCCTCTAAGAGATATATTCACCAGAATCTGCTTTGATGTGATCTTCACTCAGCTCTGCACAGCCATTTCTGAAAAGCTTTCCCATTTGGTCCCACACATGTATCCTGTGATTTTCAGTCATTCCTATTGAAAGCTCGTACACCTCTAAATTGGTACGAGTGCCCTTGCCAGAACTTCAATCATGCCTTGTTTCCTTCCAGGTTTGGCATCTTTGGAAATCCTAATTGGCCACCCAGGATGACGTAACTCCCACACATCATCCATGATCAGGGCACTTGATTCATGCCGGCATTAAGACATGTTGAGAATGTACACTGAGCTGCACATGAATGATTCTATATGTTTGAAAGGTAAAGGCGGGCAGAAGAAAGTTTTTTTGCAGAAGAGAAGTACAGAGTCTGTAATAAAACCTGACAGCCATGTTTAATCAATAGACTATAGTCTATAGTGCATATGACAGGACCCAATGAAAAATATTTTCAAAATTGGCTGTCTGGCACTGAGATGACCACACAACTAAACTCGGGAATTACATTTTAAAAATGCATTTAAGTACCTTAACAAGTAACAAAAATGGATCTTATTTGTGTATTACTCGGCTGTAGATCCTCAAACCATCTCTGAACTTGTGCTGACACTGTCCTTCCTTCTGGAGGGTGGCTACTTTTGCTTCCCATTGTCCCTGTGCGTGTTGTAAAGTACCCACCGCTCCAAGCTCATTCTCGTGATGGACTACATTCTAAAATAAAAATGGTAAACTAAATGTGAGATTGTAGTCCATCACGTGAGCGAGCTTGGAGAGGTGACTACTTTACAACACACACATGGACCATGGGGAACAAAAGTATCTTGAGTATATTGAGTATCTACAGCCGGGTGGTGCACAAATAAGATACATTTATGTTAATAGTTAGGGTACTTGAATGTATTTTTAAGATTTAACTCCTGAATTTAGTGTCACTTTAATTTGTCCTGATATATGAAAGAAGCTTATGTGTTTTAAAAGTGCACTTATCTTTTAAACCAAGTGCAAGCCTCCTTCTATATATTCAGTGGTTTCTGAATGCGACTGTACAGAACCCATATTATCCATCTACATTGTGCTGCATTAGGCCATGTACATGGGAGACACGCTTCCCAAGAGTTACAGTAATCCATACTGAGCGGTCATATGGATGCATTCTGCCTGCATTCCATCAACACATGGCTAGCGCATAGGAAATCATTTTTATACAGACTTCTAAAACCTTTGTAGATTCTGCTAA